ACCTCACATCCCCTAGAATGGCTCCTATTAAAATCAAGGATGAAGAGAAACTGGGACCCTGCATCCTGCTGTTGGGACTGTACAATACTGCAGCCTGTAGGAAGAACTGCCATTTGACCCAGCAGTGGCTCCAGAGGAGGCATTCGCACATACGTCTCCATAGCAGTGTGACTCACAGTACCCCAAAGGCAAAAAAAGGCCAAACGTCCATCAATAGATGAATAAACAAAATGTGGTACATTTGTACAGAGGAATATTACCCAGCCTCAAAAAGGAATGGAATTCTGTCACATACCACAGCACAGATGAACGTTGAGGATGTCCTGTTAAATGATGTAAGCAGTCACAAAAAGACAAGTACTATGGGATCCCACTTATATGAGATGTCTACACCTGAATCATAGAGACAGGAAGTACAGTGGGGTTTGCCAGGGACTGGCGACTCTTGTCTGCGAGATGAAGAATTAGAGTTTAATGTTTCCTCTTTAGGCTGAAGATGAAAAAGTTCCTAAGATGGACGGTGGTGATGGTTGTATGATGACGTCAGTGCACTTAACATACTCAATGGAACTCTTAAAATGCCTAAGATGATAAACCTTATGTTAGGTAAATTTTAATACATTAAGAAAACCAAAAAGCAGGGCTGGGGACAGGGCTCAAGTGGTAAAGCCCCTGCCTAGTAAGTGCAAGACCCCAGTACTAGAAAAAAAAAAAAAAAAAGCAAGAAAGGATACCTTGAGATCTGGGGAAGCTTGCATCCTAGTTTTTATACCTAAAGGAATATGAAGTGGACCTTCCATGAAATGTATCAACAGCAATTTGATTTTCTAAGTAAATGTGGATTTTCATATGTGCTTTACAGCTGGTCTCCTGGTACTCACTCCAGTCTGGTTTTAGAGCTTCCCTATTTGTAGATGGGAAGGCTATCTACCCCAAATCTTTTTGGTTTTGAAACTAGTGAATTATTCACAAGAATACATGGACTACTACTGTGTGTCTCTAGCACTGGGCATGGTAGCAGAAGATACAAAAGCACAAATGCTCTCACATTTATGCCTTCCTATTTGTTCAGGGCTGGTCGTGTCTCTCCCCCCGCACGTGACTGCATTTGAAGGTAGCTTTTATCCAACGTGACTGTGTCCTTAGAGAAAGAGGAGATCAGGAACAGACTCACACACAGGGACAGTCATGTGATGACACAGGGACAGTCACGTGAGGACACAGGGAGAAAACAGCATCCACAAGCCAGAGAGAGGAACCAGCTTGGCCGCACCTTGTTCTTGAGCTCGTGGCCCCTGGGACAGTGAGAACTGACTGAGAACACCACCAGTCTGTGGTGTTTCTTACAGGGGCTGCAGCAAACTAACACACAGCTCTGTTTTCAGAGGACCCCCCAGTGCTTACAACTGCCCTATGAGGGAGGTGCTCCCACAGACAGGGAGACTGAGTCACCACCCCAAAGTCACATCTCTGGAAAGTGTCTGGCCAACTCAGGCCCTCATTTCAAACCCTGGATTCTTTAAAGTTCTGCCTGAGTGGTGAGGGAGTAGGAAAGGAGTCACAGCAAAGCAGACAAGGGGAAAGTGCTGAAGGAGGCATTTAGAAGTCCAAGATGGGGGATCACAGGGCTGGGAAACTCAGTTAAGGAGGCTCTGCAGCCTTGCTTTGAGGCTATAACGCCTGCCGATAAGAGTTAAAATTCCTGAGCACTTACCCAAGCAGAGGCGCCAAGATAAATGCCTCATGGGGTCTGTCACCTCAAACCTTACAATTGACCCATTTTACAGACGAGGGGACAGAGGCTCAGAGAAGTTAAGCAGTGTCCACATCAAACATCATGGGTGAGGAAGGGCTTGGATTTGAACCTTGGTCTGTCTGATCTCAAAGACCTGCTGGGACTCATTTCATAGGTGTGTCCTGGCTCTGGGATGAAGACAGATAGGGCAGTACAGAACCCATCGTAAGTGAGAAAGGCCTTGGAGTCTCAAGACCCAGGCTGTATTCCTCAACAGAGCTCTGGGCAGGGGACAGCAGTCATACAGCAGATATCTAAGCACAGGTCCCCTTGCCTCCATCCCCACATGTGCACATCTGTGGCAGGAGGAATGCACCCCACAGCCACCAGGAACCTGGACTCCCACTAGTGAGACAAATTCCCCGGGCAGGAAAGGATGCTTTTGCCCATTCGTTCTCTCTGCCCCTCTCTCTTTACCTCCCCCACACACCCATTCCCTGTCTCACTGGGAACTGGGGGACTCTTTGTCCGTGTAAACTTACTCATTCGCAGAACCAAAACAGGCCTGGGAACCTTGTTTGAGCTCTGGGCCCCACTTGGTCAAATGCGCCCGTGGTGGAGAAAACTTCCCACTGTCTGTCCAGGACCTTTCTTCTCCATCCTCACCCCAGAACACCCAGACAGGAGGAGGCAAGGAGAGGAAGGCACCGACTCAGGAGTCTGCTGTTCTCTGAGCTTCTCACGTGCCCAGGAAAATTCTGCACATCAGAGGTGAAAGGAGCCATAGCACCAGCTGGGCCTGGGGTTCTGGAGCTCAAGACAGAGCCAGAGACCCCAGGAAAAGGGACTTTCACCCCTCAATTGGCTTGGCCAGCAGGATAAAATGTCCTGGGTAGACATTTTAAATGTGCAGGTGCTAAGACCCATCTTGAATCCTGGCACGGGCATTTGCAAATGTGCCTTCCACCACTGTCCCCCACTCCTGCCCCAACATGGTTTTCTTGTGCCACCAGCATGGACAACCGTGGTCCAAGCCAAGAACTGCTCATGGCAGCCACTTGTGGAATATGTCTGGCTTGAACTGGATGCAAAGCTCTGCGGGCGAAGTGGAGGAGCTTGGTGTGTACAAACGAAGACCCCAGGAGACTTTTACAAAGCACTGAGTGACCATCATCTTTAGGGGAAGATGGTGGGGTCTAGGGAGGGATGAAATACTGCAGGCTTATAGCTCATGCACCCCAGGACAGGCCCAGCCCAGTTTGGGAAGCCACTTCAGGGGCCATCGGAGGCCCCAGAGGTAGGGCCTGGTCCCAGGCTAAGCTCTTCCTCATCCTGTCAGTGTTTGCTTCCTCCTCCGTCCATCTCCAAAGAAGCTGTGGATCCTTTCAACGGATCCTCTCAGCTCTCCCTTCCCACACTATGAGCCTCCCAGGGAGAATAGTCTCTGCCCCCTGCCCCCCAATGGCAGAAGCAGGGACTCTCTGGGGTCCCCATTCATGTTCACTTCCATCAGCCACGCCTCACACCAGGTTTTCTTGGTAGCTCCCATCCCCAGGGGACCCTGCATGACCAGGAGTCCTGATGTTGCCACAGGGTAGGAGTGTTGAGCTTGGGGGTTCTGCAGTCACCTCCCCCAAAGAGCTCTCTGTCCTGGGGAAGGACAGAGGCCCCATAGTTCTCTGGACTAGCAGGGCTCCCTGCTCCTGGGGCCTCCACCTCCAGCATACTGGACCAAACTCCTATCTGACCACTCATACTCCGTCCAGGTTCCACCTGGGCCCTCCACAGTGAGGTCCCCAAGCCCACACCAAGTGCCCTCAGCAGACCCCCATTCCCCCTAGCGTGCTTTGCTCCTGACACAGCACCTATCCACAGCAAGTGGCCAGGAAGGCCAAGAACATAGTTCAAATCCCAGGTCCAGCATGAGCAACTGAGAGAAGTCTATCAGCCTCCTCACCTGCAACAGGTAGTCATAGCAACAGCAGCCATGATGCCACAGGTTTCCTTCCCCAGCACGGCTGAAGAATCCAGCCCCTCCTGCCAGTCCTACAGCTCTGCTCTGTCCATACCCCTGTCCCTCCACTCACTAGCAGTATGTGCAAAAGCCCCCCGTGCCTCAGTTTCCTCTGTACATGGTGCCACTATTCCTACCTTGAGGGTGATGGCACCGTTAGGGTTCAACACATGACACACTGGCTGCCAGGAGTTCACAGGGTCAGAAGGGGATGGACAGGTGGCACTTTGAGGTGCAGCAAAACTACTCTGTATAATACGGTTACAGTGGACACAGGTCATTGTACTTCTGTAAAACACATAAAATAAGCCGGGAGCCATGGCTCACGCCTGTAATCCTAGCTACACAGGAGGCAGAGATCAGGAGGATCACAGTTCAAAGCCAGTCCAGGTCAAAGAGTTCTGGAGAACCTACCTCGAAAAAACTCATCACAAAAAAGGGCTGGTGTGGTAGCTCAAGCAGTAAGAGTGCCTGCCTAGCAAGTGTGAGGCCCTGAGTTCAAATCCCAGTGCCAGCAAGAAAAATCTGCCTAGACTGTATCACACAGTGAGCCTTAATGTGGCATTTCGTTAGGGATAACATATCAATTGGTCCATTACTTGCGGCAAATGTACTCACCATTGCAAGATGTTAGTAAAGGGGAAATTGAGTCCGGTGCTGATGGCTCACGCCTATAATCCTAGCTACTCAGGGGGCAGAGATCAGGAGGATTGTGGTTCAAAGCCAGCCCTGGGCAAAGAGTGAGAGGAGGGATGGTGGATGGTGGAGTGGCTCAAGGTGTAGGCCCTGAATTCAAACCCCAGTACCTCTGGGAACTCTGTATACTTTCCTCTTATTTTTCTATTAAAAAAAAATTGAGCCTATTATAAACAAAGCAAAACAAAAAGAGGGCAAGTGAGGCGCCTCCGCGGTCCCTGGCGTCATCACCCGGTCTCACGGCTCGCCGGCCTGGGGCTGTCCAAGCCCAAGACCCTGGCCTCTTCCCACCCGCACCGCAGCGATTCGCGCACACAGGATTTGTGGGGTGAGGGCGCCCCCTGCCGGCCTCAAAGAGCAAAGACACCTGGGTCAGCTGTCACCTCGGGCTGGGGACTCTCATTGGACCCCTGGTGCCCTCCCGCACACCATGTCCAGGCATGTCTCCAGTAACAACACGGACAACGGTCAGACTCTCATGCCTTTATTACGGGACAGTCCCAAACTGCTGGGGTGCAGCCCAGGTCAGGGCTACCCGCTCCCCAGGAGGCGGCGTCTCAAAGGACCTCGGCCTGGTTCTGGGGCAGCGGACAGAAGCATCTCGCGGCCGAGGCCCCCGCAGGTCAGAGCAGAAAGACCCTAGCCACCTGTCACCTGCCGATCGTCACCTAACAGTGCGTCAGGCGCTGCTCTGAGCACCTGACCCGGCAGGACCATAAGCGAAGGAGGTGAGTGCGAAGACGGTCCTCGTCCTTTCACAGATGAGGAATGGAGGCACAGAGAGGCTAAGCAACTTGCCCAGGGCACACCGCCAGCGAAGGGTGGACTGCTCCTCGGCGCTGGACGCAGAGTCCGTGCCCTCCTGAAATGCCATCAGCGATGGTCCCCAAGCCCAGGCTGTCCCCTCCTAGGGCTGCAGCTCGTACTGGCCCTCGGTGGCCGTGTAGAAGTCCTCGAGCACCGACTGCAGGAACTCGAAGGTGGGCCGCTCCTCGGGCCGGCAGCGCCAGCACTCGGCGATGACGTCGCGGTAGAGCTCGGGCGGGCAGGTGTCCGGGCGCGGCATGCGGTAGCCCCGCTCCAGGCTGCGGATGACCTCGGGGTTGCTCATGCCTGCAGCGGGGGACAGGGCGCGGTGGGGAGGGCCGTGGGGGGCGGGGTGCTGCCCCTAGAGCGGCCCTGGAGTGTCACTTTCTTTTTTTTTTAAGACGATTTCCTGCTACATAGCTCAGACCAGCCTCCAGCGCTGGCCTTGAACTCGACGTCCTCCTGCCCTCCCCTCCTGAAGGCTGGGATTACAGACGTGCACCACCACACCTGGCTCTGCACCACTTTGAAACACACTTCTATTTACTTTATATTGTTTGGAGGAGAGCTGGAAACTGGGCTGTGGGTTTTCTGGTGAACGGGGGCAGTTCCCTAAGGATGTGACTCTCTTGGTGGCCTCTGATGTCCACGACCCAACTGAACCTAGTACTCACTGGACAGATGCTCCAGGAAAATTCACCACTCCCCCAGCTTCTGACATAGGCTGGCATTCAGGTCCTGACCACTTGGGACAGGACTTTGGGAAAGACCCTTGGTGTAAGGCCAAGGTAGGGCAACCTGACTACAGCTGAGAACAGAACAAGTGGAATAAGTTTGAGGTCAGACCCAACCTTCATCTTAATTACTGTTTGGGGAGGGGCTTATTTGCCCTCTGCTGGAGGAAGGGGTGCAGCACTGAGGCCCACAGCAATGTGGAAAACCCCACAACCAGTCTGCAGGCCTGGGTCTTGGTCCCTGCTGACCTCATTCTGATGAGCACATGGGAACCACAGCCCCCCAATAGGATGTCACCACCGGGCTACCCCAGGACATCAGGGGACGTGGAGGTTGCTGCAGGGGCAGTCACCTACCTGGGTATGGCACCCGCCCGTAGGTGACAATTTCCATCAGGAGGATTCCAAATGACCACACGTCGGCCTTGATGGTGAACACCCCGAACTGGATGGCCTCTGGGGCTGTCCACTTGATGGGAAACTTGGCTCCTGAGGGAAAAGCCCCTGCTACTCCAACGGGTCACTGGCTGCCCACCATCAACCCTCCCTTCCTGTTTCCTCTTGTCCTACTGCTAGATCCGGTAGGGCCTGACCACTGGACTAGGCCCAGGTACACACCGAGAGTAATTAGGACACATGAGGACATGTGCCATGAAAGTGCAGGCAAAGAGGTCACAAACTTATTCCCCACCATCCTTAGGGGTCCCTAGGAAGGGTGAGTGGGCCTCAGTGGCCACCCACATGGGTCCATCTGGGTGGAAGAGCCCTTTTCCACCTCACATGGGCTGTGTTTAGTAACAGGAACCATGGGTGGGTAAGCCTTTTTAACTGATTGGTGCCCAGTTAGTCCTTTCCTCAAAAATGAAAATATGGCGCGTGGCACACACCTCCCAGGATCTCTGTGAGGAAATGACCACAGCCCTGGCTAACACTCAGAGTAGACCCTGTGACTCAGCCCTGATCCCACCGCTACCCCTAGCCTGGCTTCCCCATCTCACCAGTCTGAAGTCCCCTGAAACCGATATGGTTCCTGAGCCTACACTGTCCTGTATCCACTGATTGATGTGCTCAGCTGATACTGCTTTGCTCACCCTCTTGGGCAGTGTATTCACTGTCAACAATCCTGGCCAAGCCAAAATCCGCAATTTTGCAGCACAAGGTCTCAGACACCAAGATGTTGGCTGCTCTCAGGTCACGGTGGATGGAATTCATGCGCTCGATGTATGCCATTCCTTCAGCAATCTGAGGACACAGGCCACACCGTGAATGACAGCAAGGATGGAGGCCACTCAGCACCCAAGTATGGCCCCTGTGAGAGAGGAAGTCCCTGCCCACTCTCTCCCACCAGCTTGTCTGTGGAACCACCTTGTCCTCTGGCAAGGCTTGGAGGGGCAGAAAGATGAATGGGTGTTTGGGGTTTGCTTTTGGTGGATGCATGGAGGGGGTGCCACTGCTGGTGAGGGTGGGGGTGCGTGTTCTTGGGTGAAGAAGAAAGATGGCTTCAACTGTTCCTCTGTTGATACACCTAGAAGCCCAGAGACACTGCTGTCTGTCCTCCTGTCCCTTCCATCCTCCCAGGCAGCTGTCTCTCAGGGTCTGCAGGCAGCAATGACTGAAGGAAGGCAGGAGGCAAGGATGGTCGCTGGAGAGGGAGGCAGAAGAAAAGGAAGGGTGGAAGGCAAGGAGAAGGCTGGTGAAGGGAAAGAATGCCTCCCCTCCCCCCTTCACGGAGGCCAGGCCCTGCCTTGGAATCAGTGATGTCCAGCGAGTCACATCACCTCCCTGAGGAGTCACAGCTCTAACCTGGAACACGAAAGGAGGCCTCCAGAGACAGAGTTAGGGTGAGCATTAGAAGAGGTCACTTGTAGTTGAGGCCCTAGCCCCACACCTGCCTTTTGCACACTGGGAGCAAGAATAGAATCCAGGTGAACAGAGGGCTCAAAGAAAAGAGGCTTTATCTGCCAGGACTAACTATGCTAGGTGGGAAATGAACTAAGGTTTCACTCACTCACTGATGGTGAGGAACTGAGGCTGAGAACAGCGAGCTGACCTGCTCAGCTCGGACCTGCTACTGCAAGACGCCAGTCCTGGAATCCATCCCATCTTCCCCCCTAGCAATTGAACCCAGGGCCTCACACATGCTAGGCGAGTGCTCTACCACTGAGCTACACCCCCGCCCCAAGACTTCCTCACAAGTCCTTTCACCTACTCATTTATTTATTTATTCCCTCACTAAGTCATTCAGCCAACATATGTTAGTTAGTTCAGGACTGTGAGGACTACAAAGCTGAATGCTAGATATCTTGTATCTGGAGACATTAACAGCACTTATCTCATTAACTATTGATCAGTACTAGAAATCCAGAAAAAAGAAAATAAGTAAATAAAAAGCAGTGGAGGGACCCAGGTCTGCTTCCACGGAAGATAAACCACCGCATATGATACTGCCCATGACACAGGAGCTCAGGGCTGTGTCACCTATCGATGAGAGAAGAAGCTGAGAACAGAGCCGACTGCTCTTGACATCTCGGAAAACCGTAGTAAAAATGGCGAGTGAACGCTGACTGAGATTCTGCAGGCAGGACAGGAGGCACAGGCACAGGGCACTGTGTCACGTGGCTGCAGAGAAGGATGCGTGGGGCAGTGGTTGGAGGGGCTTCATAGGGTGGTCAGCGCTGGCCTTGGACGAGGGGTCTGGGGACTTTGTACTTTGTCCATAGAGCAAGAAAAAGGAAAGCCCGGAAGCCACTTTTGTGTGTACATGTGCATGAATGTGTGCCAGTGCACATGTGTGAACATGTGTATCTGTGCACATGTATGTGTGTGTGTGTACATGTGAACACACATGTGTGTGTGCATGTGCACCTGTGTTGTGTGTGTGTGCGTGCATGTGTGCATATACGGTAGTGTGTGAATATGTATGAACACGTGCTTGTGTACAAGCAGGGACAGGTGGCAGGGCAGCCAGCATGTGGTCTGGGAGGTGCTGATTTCCAGGATCCTCGGCCCCCTGGTGTTTGACCATACCTGGGTACTGAGCTCAGACGGCTCTTGACAGTCTTTACCCCTGGTGACCCAAGGTTTCCAGTGGAGATTGAAAAAGAGACAGGACAGGGTGAGAGAAGGAAAAGGAAGAAAAGAAGCAGACAGCTGATCACTATTTTGTGGTTACAAACCAGTCCCCAGTGTTAACTTTCCATAACCATCTCATTAGCTGCCTCAAAGGTCTCTGCTCACCTCAGTGGAAAAAGGCGCCGTGACCTCAATTCCTGTCTTGATACCAGTCACAGATAATGTTGGACGGGGCGGGGGGGCTGGTTGAGGTGTGGGTGGGGAGGCTCCCCTGCGTAGCCAGCCAGAGTGTGTGTGTGCGCATGCGTGTGTGGTGTCTTGCAGGCTGACCACAGACCACAGCTTTCTTTCTGAGAACTCCGGTTCTAACAGACATATGTGCACAGCCACCAGATGCATTCTCCTGCCAGTTAGAAGACCTCAGCTAAAACCCCCTGGGGAGGAAGGAGCCTTTCTCTTCTTTCTGCTGTTCCCTCACCGTCTGGGAATCTCTGCGTGTGAACCCAGGGGACACAGAGGACTAGTCCAGGGCAGCTGAGAAGGTCTGGCACTTGAAATTCCCTGATAGTAGAAGCTCTCTAGGGCTCAGAGAAGTGGCGTCCCTTACAGTGTGTGCTGCTCATGTCTGCCTGTCAGGCTGGGGCCAATCCGAGGGCTACACCAGGACTTAGGGCTCAGGGAACAGAATCCGTGCTTTTGGAATCAACTCCTACTGAAGGCAATAGTGGCACCATCTAAGAAAGAAGTGAGTTCTCAACAAAGCACCAGCTTTGGAACTCTTGTCCTCTCTCTGGGTTGCCCACAAAATCCATTTTCCCTCTCTCCTTTCCTAACAGAACAGCCTCAGATCCCCATGGCTGCCCCAAATTGGGACTACATTTCCCAAGCTCCCTTGCAGCTGGATGTAGCAGGCACCTGACTAGGAGGATGTAAGGGCAAGTGTGGGTGACATCAAGAACATGTCGCAAGAGGGAGGAAGGCGGGCTTTCGTCGTCCTGCTCTTCCTGCTGGTGGAGAAGAGGATGGGATGGCAGGGCATGAACAACCACCTTGCACAGTGAGATGACACACTGAGATTCCCCATGGGGTGGAAGAAAGCCATGGGACAGAGCCACCTACCTACTCAGACTGTGCAGCTCTGGATAACATTACTGCTCCAGGTCTTCTGTCCCTCACAGTCCAGCCTCAATCTAACCCATCCAATCTCTCACCTTGGGATTCAGTTAAGGCACAGGGTGCACAGGAAGACAGCCTCCCTCCAAGCTCCCTCACCAACCTGCGCTGACATGTCAATCAGTCTTGGGAGGGACAATCTGCTGCCTTCATCTGTCTTCAAGAAATCCAGCAAACATCCTAGGAAAAGAAAGTAACAATTGTACCTCTGCAGAGTGGCCCCTGAGAGTGTCTGCCTTGCCCCTGGAGCAGGAAGTGAGTCATGCTGTCTGCATCAGGAGGTGCATCAGGAGGGATCTGCCTGCAGCTGCTGAGTACCCTACACTTCACAGGAACTCCAGCCTCAGGCCTCACAGGGCCTCAGGAGGCAGCCCTCTTGGTGAAATTAAGCCCTACAGGAAGGGTTATAGGAGGGAAAAGAAAGATGCCATAGGCTGAGGCCTGATCCCAGGCCCCATGAAGGCACACCATGAACTCACAGGCTGCCTGACCCCACTTCTCGTCGCATAGTTGGGAAGAGACAGAACCAGAGCTAGAGCCAGCTCTGCATGACCACCCTATGGCTCTTTTCACTTTGCAGTTCTCTGCCCCTCCCAGCAGGCACTGAAGCATGCTGAATGTCCTCCAGAAGGGGTGGCTGTGCTGCTCCTGAGCTGAACACACCACACGGCTCTATTTGAATCGTCCAGCCTCGGTTCCTCTGCCTCCTTCCTTCCCGTCTCCCCACGCACAAGTACATCCTAGAGTGACAGAGCACTGCTTGGGGGCTGCCTCAGCCCCCTCCCCACAGCACCCTGCCCTCTAAGCCTGGACCCCTGCGGAAAGAGGGGTACCTCTGGCCATGTACTCAGTGACGATGTAGATGGGCTCCCTGGTGACCACAGCGTACAGCCGGACCAGCCTCTCATGCTGCAGGGTTTTCATCAGGTTGGCCTCACCCAGGAAGGCTTCCGGAGACATGGTTCCCTCCTTCAAGGTCTTGATGGCCACCTTCACATTGTTCTTGTAGTAACCTGAGCCGACAGGAGGAGAAAGAATAAAAGAGCTGTCCAGAGCTGCGAGGCGATAGCTTCACAGTAGGCGTGAGTCTCCAGATGTCAGCCTCACTCTACAGGGACCTGAGGCCTGATCTGGAATGTGCAGCTCCTGAGGGTGACGCATGTGTGTGGCATCCATGCAATGTGCAAGCTTGTCACAGCCCCGCGGCCATGCTGGAGCATTAGCAGTGAAAGGATTTGCTCTGTCCAGGGGAAGGGAGTCACACTAAAGGGTAGCAGACAATGACTTGGATTTGTCCTTCCCAAAGGAGCTGTTTCTTGGCAAAGACCCCAGTTGCAGTTCCTGCCAGAGGCTTCTCCAAGAGGCATCAGGATCCAACCCTGAAGTTGTGCCCCAAAGACATGGACCAGAGCAGGCAGTAATAAAAGATGTCACTATTCTTTTTGCTCTGATAGTAATGTAGGAAACAGGGGCTGTCACCAACTGCAGTGGAAAGGGGAAATCAGTGAACCATGGAGGTTAAGTGACTTAGCCACAGTCACATGCCAGCAAGTGCTAACCTTGATTTACCCATGAGCTCCTGGCTCCTGGCTCACCATGTCTAGCAGACAGCTTCCATCTGGTGAGCAAAGCCAAGAGGAGCTAACAAAATGGCCAGTAGTTGGCCAAGAATAATGGAGAGACTGAGTTAGGGGTTGGGAGAGCAGGTTTCTGTTCCCCTCCACTGCTGTGAAGTTACAACAACCATGGGTGTGTCTCTTCAGTGTTCTGTGCCTTATTGCCTGTAAAGTGGGTGCACAGCTCTGCCTCTCCCCCTCACAAGGCTTTCTGGGGAAGCAGATGTACTGCACACACACTAACCCATCTGGCTTCTACAGTCCCATCTAGCTCAGGACACAAAGCAGGGAGAGGAGCCCCCAGGACACTACAACTTACCCATCCAGACTTCACCAAACTGCCCAGATCCAAGTTTCCTGACTAGCTTGAGAGACTGCCGGGGAATTTCCCATTCATCCTGGGCCCAGGGGTTCTGCAAGGCCAGGCTCACACAGGGCAGGGTTAGCCTCTGGCACAGACCATCACCTTTATCTGCATTGGGGAAGAAAAGAGGGCTGGAAGGCACTAGAGCAGCCAGACTTCACTCAGGAGCCATATCATTCCCAACTGTGTCCCCTTGCCTCCTGTCATGTGCTTGTATACAACGCAAACACACACATACACACACACACACACACACACACAGCCATTTGTTTTGCATACAACATGGCATGCTATCACTGGCCTACTTCCTCTAAAACTGATAATCCTTGCTGCCCTCTAGGTGCCCATGCTGAGCCTGTAGGAGCAGACTGGGCAACTGACTTCGAATCATTATGTGAGATTTGCCAATCCCTTAGGTCTGGCTTTGGGGTTCCCCCACCCCACCCCCACCAATCCCCAAGGTGATTCATAGAATTTGGGGTCGCACAGTAGAGATCCCAAAAGCTCCTCTTGCACAAGCCCCCCACTCAATGCAGGCGCCCCTCTTACTAGAATAGTGCTGCACCAGAGCCTGGAGGGAGGGGAAGGTGATCCGGGGAGAGATGTAATAGCCCCCTTCGTCCAGGGAGCGGATCTTATAGTGCTTGACTATCTCTCCCTGGCTGGTGACATCCTTCACAGACAGGGAGAAGGCACCTGGAGTGTTAACAGATGCAGGCAGGAGAAAGTAAGGCATGGAGATGAAACATCAGGACTGGGGCGGGGGCTTCATTTCAATACTCTGAAATGGGTTCACCCAATTCTGTGCACTTCCAGCATAAATTCCCCTTTCCTTCATCTCAAATCGTCCTCCTGAAAGCCTCCCTATTGGATCCCTCTGACTGCTCTGGATATTCACCAAAATCTCCCAAAACTCGGTCAAAGAATTTCCAGCTATGCAGCAGGTGGGACAGTCTCTCTCCCATCATGTGGGTCCCTTCCTCAAGCACCAGGTCACTCAGCAACCATTTGCCATGGAATATCAAGAAACATAGGGTCGCCAGGGGTATGGGGGGGTACTCATAGCTTTCTTTACTTTTCTGGTCTAATGACTGACAACTCCCCCAAAGAAACGTCAAATCACAGCCTCTGGTGCCGTGTTCTCGGTGGGAAGCAGAGGAAGGTATTTCCCAGGGGTCTGTTCAATTCATTGGTGATTAAATACATGCACGTCAGTGTCTACATATTTTATTACCTGTGTTAATGTTTTCCTGCAGACAGTGGTAGCCAATGCCAGCGGTTAAGGACAATTTAGAAGGTAACAATTCCAGCTAAGAAACTTCTTTCCTTGAACTTGGCGTTTTCATAAAATACCTCTCTCTGCCAGCTCTCTGGTTACCATGGACACCTTCTCTCCCAATAAGGGAGAGATAAGGACGCTGAGCCTGAGGCTACTCTGCCAGTTAGCCGTTTTAGGGATCCTGGCCCTCCCTGAGGACCCACGAACAAGGCGTAATCCCACACTAACCCATCAGGGGGCAGACTTGAACACCTCTTTCTCCATGTGGATGCTTGATTTTCTGAGGTTCTATTCTGAGGTCTTCAGGATCATTCCTTTCCTGTCACAATCACCACCCATCTCAAACACTTCTCCCCTCCTGTCTTCATTTGCAACGTACCCCTCTCACCACCCACTTGCAAAAAGATGCCAGGAGACCGTGCTCCTGGCCAGGACACCTTGCAGTTACCACAGTCTCCATGCCCTGGACCCTAGCCCCAGGTTGGATGCTGCACTGACCCCCCACCCTAGTCTCTAAGGACCAGAGCCAGCTCTAATGAGTTCTTTCATCTTTGCACTGCTGTGGTGGAGACAAGAGGTTTTCTCCCCATTTTGTAGGGCGCATCTGTGTAGGGTGCTTAACCACAAGCCAAGAAACCCCGGCTCGTCCAGCAGGCAGAGTTCCCAAAGCTCACGCCTTGGAGCCCTCACTTGCTTGGGCCCCTCCAAAGTCTTGTCTGTGATATCTGTGACAACTGAGTACTCTTCTTAAAAGGGACCTGCCAGCTTCAGCTTCAGGTTCACAAAACCTGGGAGTCTCTGCCTCTATAGTGTGTCTGGGCTGCCCTGGGTAGCAGGGAGAAGGGTTCTCAAAGATTCAGATTTCTTAACATGGGAAGATCCTCCTGCCTTTCACCTAGGAAACTAGTCAGTCTCCACAAAGGCACCAAAGGCTTAAGGGACTGAGGGACACCCTGGGGCCACGTGGGGCTTCTGAGGCTGCTTCCTTGACTGCCTTGTGCCTGGCGATGGCTTCACGATGGAGACTGATGGGGATGTCTAAGGAGAACCCTGTGTGTGCATGTGAGTTGTGTGTGTGCGCACTGTGTATGAGACAGTCCCTCAGCCCTGGCTCCCTCGGACCAACTTCCAGTTTGGACAGCTTCCCAGGGTGGGCAAGGACAGGGAGAGATGCCTGACTCCTGGAGACCCCCATCTTTCTCCATGTCAGGTATGGGGCCCTTGCACAAGGCACCTTAGCTGCAGGTGCTGGTTAAAAACATCATTTCCAGGTGAAAGTCATGATGTCTGAAATTTACTTTGAAACAGCAGGGTGGAGTGAGGGATGCAGAAGGAACAAGACTGACTCTGTTGATAACGGTTGAAGCTGGGTCTTGGGTAATGAGGGTTCCAGTCTCTCTAGTTGTGTATGTTTGAAATATTTTACAGCAAGAACAGCCATGGGACATTTATGCCATCTCCAGTGACTTCCCAGTTGTTTCTTGGATGGAGGTGCACTGCCATGAAGATAGTGACAATATCATAATATATATGTATGTAATCTATAATTTATATATGTATGCACATGCAAATATACATATACATACACATATAAAATTCAGTGCATCCATTGGTGCATTTTGGGAAATTCTGCTCAGAGTATCTCAGCGTCCCAGCTGCCTGCTCCTTCCCAACCTGGCCCTGGCCCTTGGAGGGGCCACGAGACCGTGTGGTCTCCCTGGACTTGATCCAGCTTTTGCTGCTCTGGCTCACCTGCTGCTTGCTGTCTAGAGCTGTGAACAGCTTAAGGGCAGCAGGGCAGTGGGCAGGCCTCCTGCCATGCAAAGCCTGCTGGTTCTCATTGCTCATCCACAGGGAACCAAACTCAGATTCCTGTCCCCCTGGTGTCCCTGTCACTGTCTCCTCTCCACAAGGATGTAGCAGGCTCCTGATGAACACAAGCTTTCTTCACATGGCCTGGGAAGGTCCCTTACTCACCCCAGCTTGACAGTCTATAGTGGGTGAAGATTCAGAGCCTCTCTCACAATTTGGTCACTGACTCTTGTGGCTTTGACACTATTGGCTTCAGACAAGTCACTTCCCTTCTCAGAGGCTCAGTTTCCTCACCTGTCAAATGAATATTAGCCTAGTATCTTTGTTTTTTTTGGTGGTGGTGGTATTGGGGTTTGAACTCACAGCTCTCCATCACTTGAGCCACTCCACCAGCTGGCTACTAACTCACAGATGGAAAACAAGTAGCAAACGTGGGAGCACAGATAATACCATTCAGAGCAGCACATTCATAACAGCTCCAAACCAGAAACAAGCCAGTGCCCACCAATGCTAGAATGGCTGTCAGTTCCGAATGCTCACACACTGGAGTGCCCACAGCCATGAAGGAAGGGAGCTAACTACCACTGTACTCCATGAACTGTGCTGCCCAGTCCCCATTCATGGGCAGCAGTCCTGACCCCCAACCCCTTAGAATGTGTTTGTATTTGGAGACGGATTTGTAAAGAGGATATTAGGGATAAAATGAGGCGAAGAGGGTGTCTGATGAAAAGGTCTGAGTCTTTATAAGAAAGGAGACTAAGTCACAGATGCACACAGAGGGACAACTGTGAGAATAAGGCACCAGCTGCAAGCCAAGGTGAGAGGCCTCAGGAGAAGCCAACACTGCCAACACCTGGTGTCACAGCTCCAGCCTCCAGATCTGTGAAAAATAAATGTCTGTTGTTGAAGACACTCAGTCCATGCTGCTTGTTATGGCAGCGCTGATAACTAACACAGGATCTCACAATGTCAAGTGAAAGAAGTTAAGACACACACACAAAATTAACATGGTATGGCTGCATTTGTATGAAGCTGAAAAACAAAGCACAGGTGATAAACCCATGAAGAAAGTAAGGAAAGATTCCCTACAAGCAGGACCACCCTGCAGGGAGTAGGGGTTGAGTCAGAAAGGGCCCAGTGGAGGAGTGAAGGGTTCCTGGATATCTAGAATGTTCTGTCACTTGGCTGCTATTACACAGAGTGGGCAAAGACACCCTATTGCTCTATGTAATTTATAGTCATATATTCATAATTTATGCATGCTTTGTATGTACTTTATATTTTACAATAAAAAGGACAGTAAGAAGGAATGCCATTTAGCTGCATGACAGACTGAGAGACAGATACACAGAGACACAGAAACACAGTGGCCTGAGGGTGGGGGCAGTCATGAGTTTGAGTCTGCAAGCCCTGGGCATTGGGTCTGGTCCCCCGGTTTTGCACAGTTGCTGCCCTTCTCCTACACCTGGCACAGTCACTGCCCAGTGTCGCCTGCCAGTCTCTGGCTGAGGTGATCACTAAAGATTCTTTGGCTCCCAAATGCTCTGATTCCAAAATGTGGAATCAAGGGGTGAGGACACTCTTCCTTGACTCTTCCCCCCTTTTTCCTGATGCCAGAGTTTGTGGCCACCTTGCCATGGGAGCTTCCACTGCCTCTGCTGCCAGGCCCTGGCAATGTTTCAGCCTGGCAACAGGAGAGCAGGTAGCATAGACAGCCTCAAAGTCAGCTCCTGGGCAGGGCCCTAATCAGAAGGGAGACAGGGCAGAAACTGCTGGGTCCCCTCCTACCCCAAGAGTGAGGCTTCAGAGGGATTTCCTGGGACCCCACAGGGTGGGTGGAGCAGGAGGCCACCCCACTCACCTTTGCTGGTCTCACTCTCTCTGATGAGGAAGGAGCCGGCCTTGTTCATGGGTGCCAGTAGCCGCCTCTCAGCCTCTTTTCGACTGATCGTCCTGAAGAACCACCTAGAAAATGGCAAAGGCAGAGAGTGGCCATGCCGCCCAGGACTTTTCAATCCATCTTCTCTGTGGGTTACGTCCTCCCCTAAGAAAGCAAATACCCTGTTTCTGCCCCCAAGTCAACCCTGAGGCTGCTCCTCACATCTTGTGCCCCATCCCATTACTTCCAGGCAGCTGTCAGGCTTACTGTTTTCCTGAACCAAAACGAGAACATTGTCTGGGTGACCTCCATTAGTTTTGCTTTGCAAAACATACAGGGTCCTCTCTCTCCCAAAAGGCAGGCTGCTGTCATGAGCCTGCCCTGCTTCCTTGCGATCTGAGTGACTAGTTGAAACCACCAGGCACTCTAGGCCTGGAGTCGGCCTGCCCTTTGGCGTAGGGTTGATCAGGGTGGGGTGGCCCCTGGTCCCACCACCATTATGAGAAAAGACCCAGAGTCCAAGGTGTGCAGAGGAGGAAGGGGAGGAGCTGCGTGTTAGCCACTGTGATACTTCCCCAGCCTTGGAACTAAGCTGGTAAAACGCTGCAGGACCCAGGCCACTGCACCATGTGAACAAGTGACTGCCCTGGTCGAGGCGGCCCTTTGTGCTGTTAAAGTTGCTGGTGGGGCTGCTGGAAAGCCTCCTGAGACCTGAGCCCAAGTCCTGTCGCTGGAGGCAGTGGGGAGTGGTTGCTGGTCATAGTGCTCCCTGTGAGCTCTGGAGGCCACTGAGTCCCTGTGAATAGTTCCATCCAGAGAAGCACAGAGAGGGACAGCTCTTGTTTTAGACAGGAAAAGTATCTCTCTGGGTATCACACAGTGGTTTAGAAGTGTTGGGAACTAGTAGGTGCCCTGTTCTAGCAGCTCCAATCCCCTGACCCTCTCTGGTCCCCCTCTGGAGTCCCAATTCTCACGGTTAGTCCACTTTCTGGCCCTGCCCAACCCCCATTCTCAGAGCAGAAGCAGCCACTGCACCCCTGGTTTGAGGCGACTCTGTCTGTCCACCTACTTTTCCACTTCCAGGGTCTTTACTGGAGCCACAAAGTTTCTGGGCACGTAGCCTTCTCTCCCTGTGATGAGCGACTTGACCAGCCACCAGTCTCCAGTTCTAAGGGAAAAGGGAAGACAGAAATAAATATGGCAAAGGCTCACATGGGGCTCTCTGGGAAGCTCCCTGCCCCCACAAGCACATCATATCCCAGGGGGCTGAGGATCACAGAGGTGGGCATCCTGGCAATGAGAGGGAGCTGTGCACATGGCTCAGGGACATGGTAGCTGCCTAAGCCATGGCAGCTTAGGCAGATGTTCTTTTGCAGAACATCTGACAGGGGAAGGGACTCCTTATGCAGGGAAAGAAGGAGATGACACTCCTTGGAGGGGAGAATTGGTCCAGACAGCCCAACTGGCTTAGGAGGGCCACACCTTCTAGCAAGCAGCCCTGTCTTGATGAATGGGACCTGTCTAGAATTTAGGGAGTGAGTTGAGACTGGCCTGGAAAAGAAGGAAGCTGGAGCCCATATAGAGATAAAGATCAGGGCTCTCGTGCACTTGGCTCAAGGCCAATGCAACAGCAGAATGTCAGGAACAAAACCAGGCCCTCTGGGCCCTACAGGACAAGCCCAGTGGTTGGGAGAGCAGACAGCATCGCAAGTGTCCTGAGAATGCGTGCAGAAAACAAGTCAAAGCTGAATTCACATGTGTAATCCTGGGTGACCTCCTGTCCAGAGGGAGACAGACATGAACACAACTGACTCCAGAGCACGGCTCTTGGGGTACAGCCAGGCCAGCTCTGCAGGAACCCGACATGAAGCTCTGCATGCCTGAGGGACTCGGGAGGGTTACACAGAGGAGGCAACATGTGAGATGGACTTTGAAGGACGTTTAGGACTGTAATAGTAGCAGAAGGTCATGAATGGAAACCATCTTGCCAGAAAGACTTGGAGGGGAAGATAAATGGGTCAAGTTTAAGGAAAATCCTGGGTGATGGTGGGAGCTGAGCAACACAGAGTATACTCAGGGGGCAGTCATGCTGGAGGAGGCCGTGGTGGGTGGGAAAAGGAGGGGGGACAATGGAAGCCCTGCTGTGACTCTGACAGGGCATGGCATTCTGGAAGCTTACTCCTTCAACACCTGCAGCTTCTCCCCCTTCAGCATCTGCAGGTCACGATCACTGACACCGTCATAATCGTACAGGGCCACCACAAAATGGTCCTCTGGGAAGAGCAAAGAACAGACAGCTATTACTCAGGCCTGTGGGAGCACTGGAGGACTGGGGTAAGATATGGTGCTAGCCATCAACCAGCTCCTAAGAGGGGTAATGACAAGGAAGCCACCAGAGTTCTTGTGCTCATGGATGCTGAAGAGGAAACTCTCATCAGGCAGACTAGCCTCAGATCTGTGTCCACTTTAGCGTGGGCTGCCCTGCAGAGCCCAGCCTGTCCTCCCTTCTAAGCCCCACTAAGAAGTCATGAAGCCAGAACAGTCCTGAGAGGCTGGCTGCATGGAGGCAGCCTTGCTGCCATCACAAGGCTGCAGACCTAACCTTGGTCCAGTGTTGGCTGATCTCTCACTCTGCCTTGCCCTTCCCCTTCCTTCTGAGGCACAGTGTCCCCAGAAGGCATAGTCTCAGCACAGTGTGCTGCCAGCCCTGACTCTCCACACTCTGGTGCCCAGAGTTCCCCAGTGGAGCTTCTGGTTGGCAGTACACCTAGGCTGCCTGGCCCTAAGCCTTTCCTAGAGAGTGGCTGACTGCTGATGGCCCCTGGAATGAGGTTGGAAGAGGGCAGGGGGCACAGCAGCCTTCAGGTGACCACTGCTGTTAACTTACACTCTTTTTTGTGTAGGGGGGTGGAACTGGGGTTTGAACTCAGGGCCTCATGCTTGCTAGGCAGGCGCTTTTACAACCTGAGCCATTCTACTAGCCCTGACCTCTGCTATTGATGAGGGCTCCCTGCACAGCTGGTCATATCTCTTGAAAGATGGTAGCCTCCCCAAAGGAGATGATTCAGTATTGTCACTGATATCTCCCTCGGAAAGAAAAAGGAAAGAGGAGATTGGAATGAATGACAGGGGTCCCAGGCAGACCCCTCAACAAGACTCAAGTTCTTGTTCCAAGGTGAACAGTTCATTTCTCTCCCCTGAGCATCCTTTCTGGAAGTGTGAATTCTCCTACTAAGAAGCCCACTTGGCGGAAAGGATGGTGTGCCAGGAACATGGGTGACAGCACTGGCCAGTTCCAGCACTTTTCTTGGGAGGGTGATAGGCTGAGCTCCCCTAGGGGGAGCCACCACAAGTTACCAGTTGTTACACCCAGCCTAGTCCCTGGCAGAGTGGGCAGCACAGAGTGCTGTCTTCCTACAACCGGGGTCTGGGGAGGCCAATCTCCTAGTACCTAGTGGAAGTGGATGATGGGAATGAGGGAAAGCTGAATAAGTTCCATCCTGGGGCCCTGCAGAGCTGAGCCCCTGGTCACGTTCATGCTTGATGCTCTCCCCACAGTCCTGGAGTCTGGGGTTGAGGGAGAAGAGGGAGGTGGGTGTAGGGTTCCCAGCTGGAATTGTGAATGGAAAATGGGAGACAAGACGGTGGTCCCTGCATGGAGCCCACCTGGGCTAGGAGGGAAGGACACAGACATATCACCTTTGAGGTTGGGAGTCTCTGAAAGCTGGGTTTTGAGACACAGTCTCAAATTCTTTTGTTCTTGTTTATAGCTTGTAAAGTCTATTTTTTTTAACCCCACAGGTTCAGGTACACAAAGGACTTGTACTTGACTCCTGGATAGACCACAAGGGACAGGTGAAGTCAGGGATAGAGCACCAGCTCTCAGCTCCCTCCATGGGTCTTCTTCCCTAGTCCTAGAGGGGCTATGAAGCTGTGGCCCATGGGAGATGCCCCCTTCTTACCTTGGTCTGGGTGTTGGTCAGGAGGTAGAGGGTGAGGTGGTTAAAGACGACCTTGGACAAAACACACTGAGTTAGATCAGCTCTCTGCATTGTGGGCAGGGCCTGGCAGGAGGACCCCACAGATCTTATCAGCTAGATTAGCTATGGGGACCTGTCCTGTGGAACAGAGATGGCTACCTTTGGAGGTGGCACAGGTAAATTCTATATATGCTGCAGTAATCCCCACAGAATCAGTTCCAACTCCAGATAATCCTCTCAGACCACCTGCTTGCCATCCTTGTCCTGACCATGTATGAAGGGAGACACTCCAGCTTTGAAAGGGAAAAACTCCAGTCACCTGGGTTAAACTCCTGGCTGTAGCATTAAAAGATGAAGTTGCTAAAGGGTATTTGTTGACAAAGAAAAACATTTAAAGAGTGTGTTTCCCTAAAACTCAGCAAATATACTCATAGGTATACGTCTTGTGGGTAAATGGCAAATGTGCACCAGGAAACACGATAAGAATGCTCCTAACAACAATAACACGGAAATAACAGTTAAAACCCACGACAGAACAGACAAATTGTAGTAAAGCCATGCAGTGACATTAATGAGCCATGGCTCATGTGTCAGTATGACTGCATCCAACAAACACGATGCTGAGCCAAAATCCAAGTGTCAGAAGAGCACATGCTACTGGAACCAGATGATTTAAAGTTTGTGAAAGATGAAGTTACAATTGTTTGGGGATGTGCACATATGTGGGATTTTAAAAGCAAAACTAAGGACAGATAAACAGATTCAGGATGGGAGGTCTGAGGTGAAGGGGACAGAGAGATTCTAAAAACTGAGTCACTTTCTCCTTCTGAGGATGGGAGTGCCTCATTTGATTGTATTCACTCAACCTGACCGTGTGTTCTGTCAGCTTGCCTTATCTGCAGACTTACTGCGTGCAGTTTTGACCAAGCATAAGTCAAAATGAATAAAGAAGTAAATGCCCTCCATCAGTCCCACGTTGTTGCCAGGTGTGTTTGAATTGCCGTGTGATCTGCTTGAGTGTTTCCTGCCCTTGATTTTGTGAAAATCTCCTTCCCAAAAAGCAAATGATGCCCCCAAGACAAGGCAAAAGTTACTGTGCTTAATTGAAGTGCTACGGTGGAAATTTTAGATTTGTTGAAAGGCAGCCCATCTTTAGCAGAAGTTGACTGGTGTGATGGGGAAAATGAGTCAAGCACCCACAGTACAGCACTGAACTCTGTGTATCCTGAGCATTTGTGGTTTGTTCTCAGTGGTGGCCTCCTTGGAAACACAAACCCACAGACACCGAGGGTTGACTGTATTCTCTTGTTATTCCATACTTATTCAACAGAAATTTGAAGAGAACTTTTTGCAAAAGGGTATGCATGGTACAGGTCCATTAAAAATATGAACATGGAAAAGGATCAGGAGGCAGGAGCTGTGAAGGGCTGGTCCCAGGTGTCTCCCCAAAAGTAAAATAATGAGGAATTATCATCTTCCCACAATTAGGATCTATTATATGGCCTTTCTAAGTTAAAAAAATTCTGGGCTCATACATATTAGCATGTAATTTGGGAGAAATTACTCAAGTAATTTCTGAGTCTGTCCAGAGGATCATTCATTCATTCAACACACCTCATTGTTGTGTGCCAAGCCCTGTGCTAGTAAGGGGTATTACTCATCTATGAAATTGCATCAGCAATCCTTGTACCCATCAGGTCCCCATTAGAATGAACTGATAGCTGCTTGAATTTGGCCATGGTGGCAGACAAAGCAAGAGAGAGAGAAAGGGAGGAACGAAGGCTTGGTGGTTAGGTAGTAGAGAGCACAAACAGTCATCAAAAACATGCACTTTAGAAGTGCTCCATAGGTACTGGTGCAGGGAGCTCCATGTGCACTGGACAGTCTTTCTCACTCACTCTCCAGCTCTGACAGGACTGGTCACTTACCTGGGGTGGCAGCGGTGGGGGAGTTTGGCTCGGGGTGTTGACCTTCCTGGGGCTCCAGCTCTTGCCCTTCTCGCTGACCTGCTTCTTGCTACTCACCAGCCCCATCCTGTTGGAGAGCACACAGCAGACCATGGCGTGAGACCAAAGGTCATGAGGTCCTTCACACCCAGTCTCCTTTTAGGTAGAATGGTGGGTGGAGGTGAGGGCAGTGAAGACCTCAGCATCAGAGCATGGGAGAAGTTTTCAGAGGCTCAGAGAGGAGAAATGACTGTATTTTAGGACATAGAAATTATTTGGCCTGACACAATGGCCAGAAACTGCTGGGATGGATCCCGGTCTCCCGGGGCACAGAAGCCCAGGCAGGGGCCAGGGGACAAATTCCAGAGGAGCCTGACCTCTTGTATCTGGTGGTCTCAGTTTTAGTCTTATTTTGCTGCTAGGACATTGTGCCTCTGGAAAAGTCACATTCCCTTTGTGCCCCAGACTCCTTCTTTCCCACTCAGATTCTCAGATGAGATGCTAGACAAAGAATCAAAGGCCAACTACAGCTTTCTAGTAATATCAGGAATCTTCTTTAGAGGCAAGAAAAATATGGTCAAGTTTGTTCTTGACAAACGTGAGCATGACAGACGTGGGAAAGACCCCAGAGACCATGTCATTAACTCCATCCATCGCCACCACACTCAGCCAAGGGCAACAAGTGGCTTGTGATGCAGAGCGGGTTCTGGAGGCCTGTGTGTCCTGAAGCTGCCACATTCCCACACAAACATCTGGCCAATCAATGAGATGTAGACCTTCCCTGGAGCAGGAGGACCCCAAGTCACTACTCTCTCTGAAGGGTGTGCTGTGAGCCATGATGTCCCACGGGTATAGAGCTCATATTTCATCAGTTCTAAGATGAATCTTTTTGCACATTTCACCATCTCTGGATCTGGGAGGCATCTTAAAATTGGTTAATGGTACTTTGTAGTGCAATTACTAGAGGCGTGTTTTTCTCGCCTTGTGATACATGAGATGAATGCTAGCTTCCTACTAGTAGTGCTGTAGATTCAGAAACATACAGTTTTACATGTCTACCAGAGAGTGGAAAGTGCATTTCTCTTCAATTTAGCTTGATGAGCAGGTTCTCACTCCACCACCTGAGCCATACCCCCAGTGCTTCAACTCACCTTGAGAAAAGACTAGTAATTTTGGATATAGGAGAGTCATAGTATAATCTGCAGGTATCTCTTACTGAGTATGCCTTGCCTACAGAACATAAAACACTTTACATTTTAAGGAATGATACTTTTATATTTAATGTTTTTTTAAAGTTAATCCAGATCACTTTATGACTGAATGAACTACAGTGCCAAAATCCCAAGCAACATTTCAGTTGTCAGAGATTTTTAGAATCAGATGTTTGGAAATGAGATTGCAAGTTTGTGTTAGGAATGGCTACTAAATTTACCAGTGCCTGCTTGGTATCTATCAATACAATCATTTTCCTTAATTTGTTTATGTAATGAATTGTGCTGGAAAATTTAACAAAACATCATTGCGTTCCTGTTCTAAAAGCTGTTTGATTACACTGTATTAGTCTTTCTGATACATGAATGGGTTCTACTGGCTGATATCTTATCAGAATGAGAATGTAGCTTCCCAAGTGCTCTTTGTGTATCAGGTGTTAGCACTGAGGGTGTGCAGGCTTCCTGGCATATTCTGGGAGTTCTCTCTCTTTTTCCAATGGACCCAATTGGGACTACCTGCTTCTTAAAGGCTGGGTAGAACTCAGCCATTAAGTTGCCTGTTTCTAGGGCCGTTTCAAATAACATCTTTAAATGTATTTCTAATTGCTTCTACAGGAATTGGCCTTTCCTCATGTCTCCTCTTTGTGTGGTTACATGAGTTACATGATTGATGGAGATATTTGATTTCTCATATGGCAATTTCCCAAATTGGTGGCATAAGATTTCATGTACTATTGTCTTAGTATGTTCTCTTTCTGGATTTTAAAAATTTTATTATCATATTATTGTTGTACTGGGGTTACACTGTGACACTTACAAGAGTACTTACAATATATCTTAGTTAAATTCACCCCTCCATCATTCTCCTTTATGCCTCTCCCCCATCCTTAGAATAGTTTCAACAAGTCTCATTTTTCATTTTCATACATTAGTACATAACATTTCCAGCATACTCACCCTTTTATACCTTTTCCTTATATTCTTCCCCTCCCATTGGTACCCAACCCCAGACAGGAACTGTTTTACCTTCCTGTCCTCCATTTTTGAGAAAAAAAAGACATTTTGGTTTGTTTAAGATATCTATACAATTTCATTATGACATTTCAATGCATATATGTATTGTATTGTCAATTGGTTCATCCCCTCTATTTTTCTCCTTTCTACCTTAGTCCTCTTATGTTGATTTCAATGGATTTTAAAATTCTATATTATGACTTCTTTTTTGTTCCTATTACAATTAAATTTTTAATTAGATAAAACTGTCTGAAGTTTACATGAAAAGTTTTAACCTAGCTCTAAAATTGTGGAAAAAAAAAAAAAAGAAGCCTGGAATCAAAGTAGCATGAAACTGGAATGGAGACAGACACATAAGCAGTGGGTCAGAGTAATCAGCATGAAAGCACATTCTGATAACATGGGAACTGCATGTATGAAAAAGTGCATTTTGATCCAGTGGAGGTAATCCCATCATGGAAGCACCTAGGAGTGTGTGTGTGTGTGTGTGTGTGTGTGTTCACAAAGTTCACATATTACATAGAAATGAACACCAAGTTATTTTCTTTGGTTATTTTGATTATTGGTAGTTGGGGGACAGAGACAAAAAACAGAAGTGCCTCCCCAAAAAACAAATTTTAAAAATTGCATGTGTCGTGGGTGTAAATGCAAAGCAGGATCCAAAAAAGACATTTCCTAAAATGTTAATATTGTTTATCTTGGGTCATAGGACTTCACATGATTTTTACTTTCTTTCTTGTAACTTCAGATGTTCCTTTAGTTCTTCAATACTATGCATATATTATTGGTGCAAGCAGAAAAATGGAAAGAGAATGTGACCCATATGCCTAATAACAGAGCAGCTTAGGGCCTGGAACCAGGCTGGCCCCCAGTTCTTGACAGCAGCCACTGAGTGGCTGGCCAGGGCTGCCTAAGCCTTAGGCTTTTCCTGACCTCTCCCAGTCTCCCTGGCTCAGCAGAGGGTTACTGGACACCAGCAACTAGAGCTTTCCCTGGATTCGGACACCAGCTTGTGCACCTCCCAAGAGACCAGCCTTATTGTTTTCCTCCATCTGGTCAGCCATATTGCTACCAAGTTTAAACTTCCTGGTCAAACACTTAAATAGCAGAATTGAACATTTAAAGAACTTGACATAAGTACAACTCCTGAAATTAAATGACCCACTACTTACACTTCCTTTGACTCCTTAGTAGTGTATGTACAAATGACTTTCCACAGCTTTTGGGAATACTTAGGACCACTACAGATCCCTTTACCCCAGTGGCTCTGACTGCAGACTCGGAAGGCTGTGTGACAACTAGCATTATGACTGGGGTTCAGGTTGCCCCTGTGCAGTTTCAGGTTGGGTGGAGCCGGAAGTTTAGAAATCTACCCAGAGGCAAAGGGAGCAGGGGGCTTTGCTTCGTTCAACAGACACTGGCCTCCTATCCCATGGGGAAGGATGACAGAAGAGTGTGACTCTGTGTGTGTGTGTCACAGTCATAAACATCTCAAGCATAGGCATATACCCATGGTTCATGCTTGTATATGTGTGTTTATGCTTTCATATAAGTGTATTTGTGTGTGTGTGTGTGTGTGTGTGTGTGTGTGTGTGGTGGAGAGGGTTAGCAAAAGGAAGGGAAGGTAGAGATGGCAGCTATTTGTTGATTAGACCCCTCTGTAGACCTTCAGGGAGCAGAGGGGTCAATGTTTGCCCATGGGGAGATGTGCAAAGTCTGAAACACATCCTCAGCTAAACGGGATGTGGTGGAGGCAACAGCTAAGAATAGAGAAAGGAGAACCCTTCATTTACACTTGCCCAGCATGTAATGGCTGAAAACATTTGACATCTACAATTCTTTTGTTATTCATGAAAGCATCCATAGATTGGCACTGTGATCCTCACTGTGCAGCTGAAGAGAGGTGAGGAGACTTGCCAAGGTCACAGGGAAGGTAGCAGAGTCCAGAGCTGGAAGGTGTTTTCTGCCTCTGATACTGCACTGCACCAAGCTTACTGCTCAAAGCAGGTGTATACGTACCCCTGCCTGGGCTCCATTCCTCTTGGCCCCCAGTTCAGGTTCAAGTTTGGATTCCTTGTCCTCTTCCCTGTGGGGGCTGCCACCTGCCTATGAAGCTCTGTCATGAAGAGGAGAAACTTCGGGAGAAGGTGCTGGGGCTGGGAGGTCTGGCACTGTGTGCCCCCTAGAACTCCAGGCAGACGCCCAGCAGTCTTCTCCCTCCTGCTTGGTCCAGGGAGGGCAGTCAGTGATTCAGAGAATCAAGACTCAGAGCAGGTCAGTCACTGACTTTGTGAACTGGAAAAATCACTTCGTGTCTCTAAGTCTCTCTCCTTACTGATGGGAAGGTATGAAATCGTTCCTAATTTCACAGAGAAAGTCTTTCCGAGAAAGCACCCTCAAAGTGAAGCTGAGAAAGTCCAAAATTGACTTTGTGTTGGGTTGGGGGGGTGGGAGGCAGCAAGCTTCAATTACATCTTGCCTATTAGACAAATCTCCATGATCCATTTTCAGCCTTTCACAGATGTCTCTTAATTATGCACTTTTCCATGACAATGGACTGTGACTGTTTGTTTAAAATAAGGGGAAAATGCACCAAAATATTAGAACAATTGTGCAAACACTGTTCTCCGGATGAAAATAGTTGTCATGGCAGTATTGGGTTGTTGCCAGGTGGGCATGGCTCCACCATGCTTGGGAATGCTGAGTTCCGTGCTGAAGTACTTGAGTCTAAACTCAACATATGGAAGATGTTTGGGGAAGGTGATGCGCAAAGAGCAAATAAGTAGGCTTATTAGGATCAAGGACCCATAGCCTGTGTGTAATTCATACAGTGGCCAAGTGAACCAAGCAAGATGAGGGCACA